AAACAACTTGAATATTGGACAAATCAACTAGTGAATTATATTAGTCATAAAGGGATTGATGCCAGTCAGGTGATTTTGTTCTGGGGTCCGGTGAGAATGGTTTGAAATATAGGGGTCCAGTACTCAAATAAATGTTGAAAAGTTCACTGTGCTAGATGGACCTATTTAAACTTTCTATGTGCCTTGCCATTTTTTTAGCATCCTGTGTTACAAGCGCCATGTTTTTAATATGCTGTTACAAGTTAAACACTTAAAATACATCAAATAACACCTGCTTTTGGTTGTTGCACTGCATCAATCGGTTTCATTGTGTGAACAACCCCCACATGCAAAATATGTAATGTCTTAACTTGTTTAATGCTTATTAAATCACATTGCAGGACTCTCACTTCATAAAGCATAACTGTTTTTTTTTTTAATGAATGTGTGAATTAATGACCAGTCGTTTGCAAAGTTGAGCCCAATTAAGTATTTTTTAATGAATTTTAAAATGTAATACTAATTATACCAATTAAATCATTTTGAAATGGTATTTGTTGGGTCCACATTTCTCATTTCGGTACATGTGAATTTCCTTCACTCACAATGCACAACAATTTTTTACATTTGCACATTTTACTAGATAATTAACAATTATAGACCAAATCAATGTTCTTCGCCGTCTAAGAGAATAAAAAAAAAAAAATTTGTCTGGCCTTTTTCATTGAGGACAGTAAAATTGCATGTCATGTCATCCGCCTATCCAAATATATAACCATCGTGTCTGGTGGGGCCCCTGCTCTGTTCCGGCGACGAGAGGTCAGTTCGCGTATGCGTGTCACAGACGAGCGCTCCAGGAACACAGGAACGTCACACTCAATGGATTTATGGCTTCTTATCAGCATGCCATTTGCATTTGCGAGGAGATCTGCAGCACAGGCCCATTTTCTCCGTCTGGATAGCGGAGCGACCTCCACCGGTGCCCAGGGGCTCCTCAATGCATCACTCTCTCCCTCCTTCGGCTGCTAAACATTCCCACTGCATTAGCTGAAGACAAGACATCAATTATACATGCCGTGGTTTCACTGTTGCAAAATACTATTTCCAGTTGGCTTAAATAGGATTAAAAATTAAATATCGCTTGCTGAAAAGGAATATGAAATCAGCTTGAACTTCTGCTACTTTCAAGCAGGACGTTTGGGGCCAGTGCAGAGCAAAGGGCCTGTTTTGGGCGAGCCGCCTGCGTGTGTTGTCCGTGTGATGGCAAAAAGGAAAGACTTTTAATTAGCGGTTTTTGGTCTAGCAAATATTTACCCAAGCATCTCACAAACAAGTGCTTTTAAAAGTTTGATTTAAAGCAGCCCTAACAGATGGTGAACCAGGCGCTGGCGCATAGCCGAGTTTCAGTGTGACCACAGGGTACCATTGCATATGTTATCTAAGAAGAAAAAAGACGCTAATATTGGTATCAGTGCAGCCATTAAAATCTTAAACAGCATATTCAGGGCTACAGCATGTGGAAGCATCGAAACTACCTCGCTTAAGAAAAAAAGTGCATACCCACCACCAAATGTTCTTCACACTTTTCTTCATGAACTCAACCTCTCTTCCATCCACATGTCAGTTCCATAAAGAGCAGAGGTCGAAAGTGGTGTGGGCTGGTCACGCCAGGCCAGTCCTGATGGCTCATCCCCAGACCTTCCTCGTCAATTATGAATAGCTACTTCCATTACGAGAACCACTTCTGCTTTAAGGGCACACTTGCTCAAAGGAAAGAACGCTTTGGCAGTCATCTTAGACTCAAGTGTTTTTATATATAAATCTCTCATTTTTCATACAAATACTAATGTCAAAGGTCAATTTTCAATTAAAAACGAAGTAACGTGCACAGATAACTATAAATAAGCAAAGCAATTGGTTCAATTGGTGTGGTTTAGGTAAGGAACACCAATCCAACCAAGGCAGACTATTTAGTATAACCAGTTTGAAAGCAGTTACAACTGTTTTTTGCAATTTCATTCGGTGGCTCTAGAGTAGTAGTTATTTTTATCACCATGTCAGCATCTTTATGGCAAAATAGTTGCAATAATGCAAGTTACATAAACACAAAATAAAAACCAAGCTTATATTATATTATTATAGTATAACCTAGATTATATTATTAGATTTTTTTAAATTAACATATGATAAAAAATTCTATGTACTTCATTTAAAAAATTCTACTTGCACTAAAACCGAGACAGTCCAATAATTAAAAAAAAAAAAAAATTTCAGCTGCAAAGTCAACAGTCAAAATCCACTGTTGTAATAAAGTCAGCATAAAACAGAAACTTAGGGCAGGATTTGGTTTTGCCATTTCAGGGGGAGGGAAAGTTAATATTTTTGATTAAAGACTGCGAGCACAAACTAATTAAAATTTATATATATGTGTGTGTGTGTGTGTATATGTATGCATGTATGTATATATATATATATATATATATATATAAT